CTAGCTAGACCACTCCTAGATCACCCCTAGCTAGACCACTCCTAGATCACCCCTAGCTAGACCACTCCTAGATCACCTCTAGCTAGACCACTCCTAGATCACCCCTAGCTAGACCACTCCTAGATCACCCCTAGCTAGACCACTCCTAGATCACCCCTAGCTAGACCACTCCTAGATCACCTCTAGCTAGACCACTCCTAGATCACCCCTAGCTAGACCACTCCTAGATCACCCCTAGCTAGACCACTCCTAGATCACCCATAGCTAAATCACTCCTAGATCACCACTCAATCCCCCCTAGATCATCACTAGATCAAGATCATCTAGATCGCTCAGGCCTGAGGACCTTCCGGCACTGGCATCCTGACGCCGAGCGCTCAGCTGATCGCTTGGTGCCAGAAATACTGATGCATATTTTATATCGATCTATATAATCGATATATTGGTATATAATCTATTTATATCAGTTTAAAATATACTGATGCATATTTTATATCAATATATATAATTGATATATTGATATATAATCTATTTATATCAGTTTAAAATATACTGATGCATATTTCATAATGCTTTATATATCATACTGCTGTATATATCATACTGATGCATACATCAAACTGGTGAAAATAACTCGTATATCATACAGGGTCATGTCATATTATTGCAGATCTTCCTACACGACATCTTTCACTGTTTAAATTTACCATCTTTTTAAAGATCTTATTTATTTATCATAATTTCGTGATGTAAATAGTTCGCTAATTCGAGTTCAATTTCGTACACACTGCATGTATAAACGAGACGAGATGCTATGTATTTATTGCCATTGTTAGTTTTTCCTGACAAAATGGCGTTTCAGTGCTACATATAAAGAGCGAGTCAGTATTTGAACAATATAACCATACATTTTTTTAGTGTAGTATTATAGAAAATTTACGGGGTTTCATACGGACCAACACACCACTCATAAAAGTTAATGGGTAATACTGTACAAATAGCGACTCGCGTTCTGATCTTAGCACAGATACGTCATGTAGGCGAGCCCAAGGGGGCCAAAAGTACATCTCTATTCGCACAAAGTTTCACTTATTTTAATGAGTGCCTTCATGTACACACCCCACCAATTGTGCGGGAATAATGACAGGAAATGACGTTTGAAAATTATGTAATTAACAGTAATTATATTGTTAAATTATTTAATTAGGACATAAATACCGATGCGGAGAAGGTGAGAGGAGCTTAAGCAGGATAGTAACATAGATATAGGAAATATATATCATATATGAGAGCCAGCAGCAGCAGCACCAGCACCAGCAGCAGCAGCAGCAGCACCAGCAGCAGCAGCAGCACCAGCAGCAGCAGCACCAGCAGCAGCAGCAACACCAGCAGCAGCAGCAGCACCAGCAGCA